TAATTTTTTTAAGTTATCTATTAAAATATAGAGTCTATTTAAAGCTAGCCTGGAGCCAAACACAATTTTTTATAAGACAATATAATTGACATGTAAACTTTTAGATATTTTTGAAGATCATAATTCAGGGTGCTTTTGTTTTTGGTGCTAGTTGTTTTTTGTGTATTTTTCCTCTAGGAAGTACCAGCTTCACTGGCACAAGTGTTCCTGTGGTCCTCATTAGCAGGTTTTCAAATTCAGGAAAGAGTGTCTGGACCTAAAACTCATTATTTTGCAGTTTATATTTGTTTGTCTGCCTTAGAGTCCTCCAGACAATCTTTCACAAAAATCTGAAGTTTAATTACAATGAGCAATTAGACTTTTATGATCACTCATGCTTTTTTTCTTCACTTACACATCATAGTTTCACTGCAGAGATAATATATTTAGAAGCACTGTTCATTTTGCTACCTGCTTTCACATAGTTTCAACCAGTTAATAACATAGTAACCCTTTGTGTTTGGTTTCGTTATTCCTCTTTCAGAGACAGAAAAATTGAAGTCAGAATAGCTTCTTGGTTTCCATAAATTCAAAGATCAATTAAGCAGAAAAGCTGGTACAATACTAAAAGTCACACCTTTTGACTGCAAGTTCAGTGCTTTTTGCAGTGTACGCCAAAGCTTCTTAGTATGAATGTATTAAATAGAGGAGACTTGGTGAAATAAAGGCAAAAAATTGCTTGAAGTGCTTTGAATAAAAAAACTAATTACATGTTATTTATTCCTTTGTTTAACGGTATATTAAGAGTAAATTAAGTACATTGCTTGACTTCACACTGATGTATGTAAATAACTAAATCTAACCTTCATACGTTTTTATATTTGTAGAAATTAAGTCTCTGGTGCCATGAATCTGTCACAATGTCTCTCAAAAATGCAATTCAAAGAAGTGAGACTAATAATGGAAATTTTAGGAAAAACAAATTACTCAAAATGATAATTTTTAGGAAATTTTTAGGAAAAAGAAGTTACTCAAAATGATAACTCAAAAGATAGCTGTCTGTTGCAGTCAGATAAACAATCCTTCCTTTGGTAAGTTGCTTAGAAAAACCTATCATTCTCTCAACACATAGTTTGGATACTGCTTTGTGGTAATGGTTTAAGATAAGCTACCTCTGTGTATTTACTATCTCTGTGTATATCCTTTTATAATTGTGGCAACAGTTTTAATTTAGACAGTGTTTTTTCTCATTGCTATTTCTGTCCTATATTTTCTAATTGGTATATTTCCTACTGTCTTTCCTTTTGGAGGTATTTTTAAAAGAATTATTCTCTTTATATGGCTTCTTGCCTAGAAATTTTGAATTTAACTTTCCAGGAATATCCATTAATTTAATTTGTAAAAATACCATACACTATTTAACCTAAAATGTGTCCTATTTAGAATGTGCAATTATTTTACATATCACTAATAAAGACAAACATGATGCTAATTATAATTGCAAACAGAAGTTGAAGGATGGATCCTAATTTTAGAGATATTAAAATATGAAAAACTATGTTTTTCAATTTATAAAATACAGCCAAATAACTATCAGAGTCTTTGCTATAGGTTTCCAGTAATATATTTATATACGAATTCAATTTATATACTGAATTATTTTAATGATAATTTCAGGCAAAGGAATGTTGTATGTGTATTTAATGGAGAACAATTGCACTTCAATGTTTCAAGACTATTTTAAAGGCTTTAGAAGATATCTTGCTAGAACTAAACTCCCTGGATGGGTGTGGTGGCTTGTATGTGTAATCCTGACACTTTGGGGGGATTACTGGAGGCCAAGAATTCAAGACCAGCCTGAGCAACATAGCAAGTCCCTGCCTCTACAAAAAATAAATTTGCCAGGCATGGTGGCATGCACCTGTAGTCCAGCTACTCAGGAAGCTGAGGTGGGAGGATTTCTTGAGCCCAGGAGTTTGAAGCTTCAGTGATCATGATCACGCCACTATATTCTAGCCTGGGTGACTGACAGAGGGAGACCTTATCTTGACAAAAACAAACAACAAAACTCTAAAGTCAAGGCAGGATCTTTGTCTGTTTTGTGTGAATTCATGAGTGAATGTATGTATGTTCATTAAAGATGTAGCAAGTCTGTTTTAAAGCCAATCAAAGCAGGTAAATAAGAATTATTAATCAGCAATCTCCTCCCAAATGCCAATTTATGTTTCTTAGATATCTTATACTTGTTGCAGCTTAGCTTCTCATGCCTTTTCATTTGTCACCAATTACTTTCCATTTCATTATCATAAATATTATGAGTTATCACAGTAGGACTGGAGAGAGTATAATTTATCATTAAGAGGGAAAGGGTTAAGGTCTAGAATCAGACTTCCTGAATTTGAATCCTAGCTCTGCTACTTACTATCTGTAAAACCACAAAGCTCAGGTAATACTTACTAGAACAGTTACCACATGTAGAACCACACCATGCATGTTATTCTCCAATTTCTTGTTGGTTCATATATTTATGAACATTATACAGATAGTAAGTAGGAGAGTCAGAATTCAAATTCAGGAAGTCTGATTCTAGACCCCTTCCCTCTTAATGATACATTAAAAATACATACGTACATATATGCATATGTGTGTGTGTATGTGTATGTATGTATCGGTTTCCTCTTCTATATTCTTGAGATCGGAATAGTATCTATTTCTTGGAAATATTGTGAGAATGAAGTAAGACAATACATGCAAAAGACTTAGTAGAGTAGCTTGCACATAGTAAGTACAGTTAGTACTCTATATTCACAGGTTCTGCATCTGAAGACTCAATTCCATAGATTCAATCAACTGAGGCTCAAGAATGTTAGAAAAAAAAATAAAAATAACAAAAATAAAAATAATATACAATTCAGTAGAGCAACTACTTATATACCATTTACATTGTATTAGGTATTAAGAGTAATCTAAAAATCATTTAAAGCATCTGAGAGGAGGTACATAGATTATATGCAAATACTATGTCATTTTATATCAGAAACTTGAGCATTTGCAGATTTTGGTACGGGGGCTTCCTGGAACCAATCCCTCACAGATACCAAGGATCAACCATATTTAATAAATCTGAGCTGTTTTGCTGTATGTGCATCAACCTAACAAGATTCTGTGCATACTTTGAGGACAGGGTCTATATCTTATTTGTTTTATATTAATTACTGAGTCTATCATATAGTAAGTACTAAATAAATATTTGCTTAAAATTGATTGAAGTTAATTTGCCTTAAAGATTTGTTTTCTTTTCTCAAAGAAAAACAAAGCACATAGACTGTCTTTCATTGCAATCATCACTGAAGTTTTTATGTGAATCACTAGAAGAAAAGACTATTAATAGTTTGCTGTACTTTAAATGTCTTTCTTTAATATGAACACATCAATGTAAATACATATCTGCACCCTTAGGTACATACAGAAGCAAATTCCCACTTAAGTTGTGAAGTATTTATAATTATTTACCAAAACCAATGAAGCCATTTCAAAAATAATAACTAGGAATAATTTATGGACCCCAAAAAAGAGGAATAGGTTACTCACTTGAATGTCCTTTCACACAGAATATTCACAAAGACATTTTTTTTGACAATAAAATTACATTTCATCTATTTAATTTATAGTAGACAATGTACAATGGGCAGCAATTGGATTATAAACTTTCATGAACATCCAATTAGCATCAACATATCAAAAAGACTTCCTTTCCTGTTTATTAATTCTGAAATTTACTTAGCTATAGGAAACTATTTTCAAACTTAAAAACAAGTAGGGTTTTCTGAAGAAAAATAAAGTTAGTAACTGTGGGCTATTATGTTTTGAAACAGTCTATAAACAAGCACATGGTTAAATATGTTGGAATAGGAAAGAAGAATATATGCCTTCATAGTTTATTGCTATTTAGACAGAGCCCATTTGAGTATTCTACTGTTTAAGAATATTTCTATTAACATCTTATTGTATATGTCTACTAGGAGAGCAAACAATGTTTCGTTGTTTTCTAGAATTATGATGACAGTTACCATTTATTTTCTTTAATAAGTAAATGAAATTGTAACAGATCTTTCCCAGGTATACAGTAGTCTCCCCTTATCTGTGGTTTCTCTTTCACCAGTTTCAGTTATGCCCCCAATCAACCATGGCCCAAAAAATATTAAATGGAAACCTTTAGAAATAAGCAATTTATAAGTTTTAAGTTTAACATTGTTTTAGGTAGCATGATGAAATCTCACACTATCCCATTGACACGCCCTGGACGTGAATCATCCCTTTGTCCAGCATATCTGCACTGTATACCCTACAAGCCCTACACAATGTTGGAAGAAAACATAAAACGATACACAGTTTCAGGCATCCACTAGGGGTCTTGGAATGTGACCCCACAGATAATGGGAGACTACTGTAATCCTATTCAACATTCACAGAATCACTAGATGATAAGCTCTATCCAGACAGAATTATGTCTGTGTATTTTACTTGTCAACGTCCTCAGTAATCAGCACTGAGCCTGGAATACAGACACCTATTAAGCAACAGATCAGCTTCCCTTTGAAGTAGGTCCCTACAAGAAGGATTCTTAGTTTGTTACTATTTCACTACTATGGATGTACATTTTACCAAATCTACCATTGTTTGGCATGGTTAGGGTTATGTTCATTTACTCATACTACAGTTTCAAAGAAAGAAGGCCTGAGACATACCTTTGCTTTATCATGTGTAGAAAACTAGAAAATTGAGCCAAAATGTCTAAGAAAATTTCTAACACAAGCACTATAATTAAAAGTCTGCAAAACAGTGATCCTGATTCATGTAAATTGAAGGCTCTAAAATATGACCATTAAAAATATCTTAGAATGTGTATTAAGAATTTGTTAAAAACTCCTTTAAGATTAGGTCATCAGTTAACAAAACAAAGAAATGTCAGATAAAGTAACCTCCAGAAATCAAAAACACAAGGCTCAAATAGTACTTACCAGAACAGTTACCACACGTAGAACCACTCCACGCATGTTATTCTCCAATTTCTTGTCAGTCAGTGACCCATTCAGACCTGTGACAGGATTCCAGCACCCAAGCTGAAAGATAAGACAGCTCTGGTCATTTTTTTTCTGCCTGAAGAACAGTCCCATCACCTTGGTATAGCCCTTATGGAGAAGCATGTGATAGCTTTCAGAATAATTGGTATAGAAAAAGTAATGCACAGGCTTTCTTTTTTAATAGGAAATGAGGTTATCAGAAATGCCATTTCCTGCTTTTAAATATCATGCTTATTGTGCTTTAGGAGGCTTATTGAGGACATTTTACTTAATGAGGAGTTATATATACACCAGTCACTCAGTTCCAGTAATACACTAATTGGAAAAGTAATAGCACATATAATTCTAACATAATGTCTCTTTTAATATCTCAGTTACTGCATAAGTTAGATTCTCTAATAGTTTCAATGGTTTTAATTTGATCTTCTATGGCTTTTACTGGGGAAAAAAGACAATATTTTTTAATATGGTTAGAAGGGCAACTGCTTTTATTTGAAAAAAAAAAGTGTATGGCTTTGTTTTCAATGTATTCATAGTACATAAAACAATATAATTTGCCTTTTTGTCAGTGTTATCAATTTGCTTGGAATATTTTGGCAGCAGCCTTTCCCTTAAAGTTTTGCAATGACTCACTGCTCTTTACTCACCCAAATAGTAGTTTAATTTTACATTCTGATGTCGGTCTTATCTCCTGTAATATACAAATCTGAGGGCTACCAGTTTTTAAATGACTATCTATAAATCTCAAATGGGATAAAATTTGATGACGCTCCATCAAAAATAAGGAGAAAAGAAAGAGATAATGTGACTTGAATTAGCAGATAACTGTTTATGGAACAAGGCTGCAGAAAGAGAGAATGTTGTAATTCACATCTTGGGAAGAAATGCCCTGTTATTCATCCTGAAACCAGCTCCATGAGCCTTCACGTTTGGGAAATATTCTGCATTTGCACTTAAAAATGTAACAGACCTTCAGTCATATTCAGAGCCTGTTTTGATTAACTTATGGTCATGGGGGAAATGGTTAATTGTGCTATTTTCTCCTGATAATTGTGATTTATTTCTTTTTATCGCAGTTTGTCTGTGGCTTCCAAAGTCATCTACATACTGGCTGGCAAGTCTTCCCCACAAATAAACAATTTAGGAGCTTCCTATTAAAACCCAATTTTCTCATTGAGCTCCCCAAAAGGTGTTTAATTAAGAAAACTAAAATGTACGTAATATATCTTAAGAGAAGGGAATGTCACAATATAAACAGCAGAGCCAGCGTTTTCCTTATTAAAATAATTTGGAAAAGGCTGCTAATTGTTGGTTTCAACTGTAAAAGCACATTAAATTCATACAATGATATGTCATTCTTAGTTACATAAAAAGCCTAATTAGAACTTAGATCCAATTAGCAAATCCAAACGTGTTGAAAGTCTAATTATCAGAGACATTGTGGTCCTCTTGCCAAATTTAAAACTTTATGAAATTTCTTTTGAGCTTTTCTCTTCTGAGGTCAACAAGTCTATCTTCAATTACATTCCGTGATGTGTGCTTTTTCTAATTACTTCTTCAAGAGGATTTTATTTTCCTAAACCAAATAATATTGGTGGAAAAAAATCATCTATAACATTAAGTGAAGAGCTATTCCAATGTGCTATCTCCACATATTACAACAATATAACTTAATTTTAAGCTTAACGGACACCTTTTAGGATATGATCTTGTTCATGATAAATATGTCTAAGCTGCCAAAGCAAACACAGTAATTTCTTCTCTGTCCTCCTTAGAGTTGTCTCTTAAATTTGGTGAGGCTATTGTCAGTTTGTGTAAATAAATGACCTCTATTAGCACCAACTTGACTATGCCATTTGGTGTATTGAGTAGTAAAAAATAACAGCTATTGGATTAACAGTGAAATTTGAGCCATTTGTTTCAACAATGCTATGGACAAACATTTATAAATATATAATTTTCAGTTTCTTCAGAATGATATTTTCTTTTAAACATAACTGAACCTGGTCAATGGTTTAATAATTCTAAAACATTCTAGTATTTGGAGGTTCCAAATAACAAGATCAAAAAAGCATTTGAAGTAGGTAGACTAGATAAATATCTCTCATCTTCTGATCTAGGCAGTGACTTAAACATTATTTACACCATATACAATATTTCTATTCATTTTTAAAATTTTTAATATTTGGCCAGACTCTCTCATATGTGTTACAAGACAATAATTTCTCTCCTCTACTTGACAAAGACTTTTCACCTTTCTGTGTTCTCCTTTTTTTTTTTTTTTTTTCCCCATCTGACTCATATGTCCTTTGATAATAGCATTTGGACAGTTGTTCCTCTTCTTAATAACAGCAGTCTAGAGTTTAGGATTGGTAAGTTCCTTTTACTTAACTTGATTTTTTCTTCATATGCACAAACTTTATAATGTTTCCTAAATATTAGCTGTGGATGCCAAGAACTAGGATGCTCAAAGACTTAATTTGCGGGTAAAGAATGTTTAGGATACAGGTTCTCTGGAAAACTAGAAATAAAATACATTCCCTTATCACATATCATAATGGGGTATAACTAAGAAAGTACATTTTTGAACATTGTTTAATACTTTCTGTGGTCAGCCATGGTACTGAGCTTTTTACACATGCAAGCTTCACAATGACCAAATGAGAAGGTGCTATTACCATTATTATTTAATAGACCAGAAAACTCAGGACTTCGTTAAGATCACGTATCTACTAAGAGGTGAAATTAGTATTTAATCCAGTTATTTTTAAAGTCTAGATTCAGCATTTTTCATTGAGGTGTTGTTTTATGGCTTATGAATCCTTTTCATAAATGTCATCTATTTAAGGTAGGTAGGGAAGATATTTCTATTTTATAGTCAGTGACATTGAGACTCCAAATTATTAAATTTGGTTTAATATAATAGCTAGTGAATTGACATCTTGGTGATACATTTTAAAAGGTAAAATCATCATTATCGTCATCATTATTTTATAACAATTATTATAACATTTACATATGCAATTATAATAACATTTACATCGAGAGATGTACTTTTATTAACTCATTCAATTTTTAAAGCAACTATTTGAGAAGGGTGACTACTATTTCCATTTTATAGTGAGGAAACTGAGGACTGAGAGAATCTGTTCTTTCCACTGTGTCTATCTTTCATTCACTTAGGCATTCAAGAGGGTGGGTAAAGGAAAGTAGTAGAAAAATGAAGTGGACTAGAAATTTTCAGAAATATTTCTGAAGCTGCATTTTGACCAATTTACTAAAGAAATCATGGAACATGCTACATTTATCCTAAATCCTGATACTACTCCTTAAAATGTATACTAAAGATGAATAAGACATTAAACAATAGCAACCAAAGAAGTGTTGACTATCCACATCCTTTTGAAGGATTTATCCTGTTCTGTTGGGTTTTGTTTTTATTTTTTGAGATAGGGTCTCACTCTGGCACCCAGTCCGGAGTGCATTTGGTGCAGCCATGGTTCACTGCAGCTTGACCTCTCAGGCTCAGATGATCATCCCACCTCAGCCTCTTGAGTAGCTGGGACTACAGGTGCATGCCACCATGCCTGGCTAATTTTTTTGCATTTTTGTAGGGAAAAAATTTAACCATGTTGCTCAAGGTTGGTTTTGCACTCTTGGGCTCAAGGGATCCTCCCACCTCAGCCTCCCAAAATGCTGGGATTATAGGTATAAACCACAACATCCTGTCTGGATTTCTCATTTTAATATTTCTTAATTTCTGCTCATATCCACTTATCTCCCTGAGGTTCACTTCAAGCTTTTTTTGTTTAACTTCAATAACCTTTTTCAAAAATAAGCAATAAAGATGAGTTAGATTCACATAGATTCAAACTGAATTTGTATCTGCAACTGGCAATATTTCTTGTTGCATAGCAAGACTGACAGGCATAGTGGTTGATAAAAACTAGAAGAATTTCACTTAGGTTCAAGTGTTAGGCTTATCTAACAACTCCTCTGGTTTCAATGTCTGAATTCTCATTAATTTGACTTCTCTGGCTCTGTGGAGATGGTTGTTTTGTCTGCTGTGTCTTTGATTTTGTTTCTGGTTTTTGTTTTGTTTTGTTTTTAAACAATGAGTCCAAGACTAGTAAAGATAACACACACACAAATCTCATATCTATTCAGCTGAGTGATTCCTAAATAAAAAACAATAAAGGTGGCCCCTGCAGCACATGAGACTTACAGAAAGTCACACTGCTGATGGCAAAATGAGATTCACTATCTCCTGTGGTCTGGCAGTCTAAAGAAAATTTACAAGGGATAAAAAAGTAAACTCAATTCAATTTCCTTTCAGTTACAGTATATTGATTTCCTGTAGTATTTTCTGGTTATTGATTTCCTATAGTATTTTCTGGTTATTGCCTAAAGTCATTTTTAAACATTAAAATGCTTAGTGCTTTAATTATTTCCTTCATTGGAGCTTTGGCAATAATCATCTTGTAACATTCTGTTAAATTCAATGTAATATTGAATTTAAGTTCAACAAACTGGGTTGATGTATTTGCATGAGCACAGTAGCATGCTCCTAACATCATGTGTACTAATGATCAAGTTTTATTTACTCTTTCTTCCTCAGTGTTTCTACTTCTTATTTGTCCATGGGCTGTAAGGGATGACTTGTGACCCTCGGGTTTTACATCATTATTTTTTAGGCAGTGTTATGTCAAGAAGAGCTAAATTGCTCAATTTTAATTTTATGCTCAATAGTTTGTAGTCTTCAATAACAGGAGTCAAGAGAGGTCTTAATTGAATACCAAATGGAATTCTCTCCATTTATTAGCTTGTATTCATACAGAACAAATGAAGCCTGGCTATACTACGAAAGCTCCAGCCGCTGGACACAAAATGTCCACAGCATTGAGGACTGTATGCTACTAGCCACAATGTTTCGTTTACTTGATTTCTCAGCTTTCTGATAAAATGAGGGAACAAAAAGTCATAGGCAAAGCACCTTGAAAGCCAGCCACTTAGAAATGCGCAGCATTTGTTTGGTAGAT